TGTGCTGGGACACAGCACGAGGAGGACAGATAGAGCCTAACGCTAGAGGCTGACACTCGAGCGGGGAGACAGACAGATGCACAGACACCTGACTGAAGGCCAGGACGAGTGGGCTGGAGCGGGGCGGCTAGCCACGGGGACCTGAGGAGTCTGGAAGGCCTCCCTGAAGGGCAAAGCCTGACCCAAGGCCTGAAGGAGGGTCAGGTTAATTATATTAGGAGAGACGGGCTGGAAGCCACCATGGGAAGGAAGGGGTTTTCTCTCATCCGATTCTTGCCACAACAGATTGTATCCCCTGCCATTCAAGACAAAGGTGGACAAGGAAGAGATTGTCTTTGCAAAGCCATGCCAATTCATTTCAGGGTTCCCACGGGTTTCTAGATTTCACAGAAATCACTTGGGTAGAGCTGTTGTGCACTCCCTCTCCAGTATGCCAGAGAAGGCTATCTGATTTCCCTGTGGTGAAGAGGGATGGATTAAGAGAGATCTAAACAATGAGGAAGGAGGTGGGATCCCAAAGCTCAGGTGAAAGGGTAAGGCTTCTATGGAATATGCAAGGGGATTGAGGGAAAGAGGGTCAAGAAGACCCAGCTGTACACACATCTGTAGGTACCTGAGGAGAAACCACAGATTAGGCCTGTGGGGCTGTATTTATATGTGAAGTCAGTGGGGGGACGGTGTGCAGGGGCACAGGGGTGCACATGTCTGTCTCTGCCCAGGAGGGTACCCCCATCTGCTCTGGCAGTCTGTGAAGGGTGGCAACCACTGGGACCCACCAACTCACTTCACTATCTATCAAGCCCAGATGTTGCTGATCCTCACCAGGGACCCACCCCTTTCTTTCTGAGGAGTGCCACCCCGACGGCTCTTGGCTGTCCAGGCGCACAGGACTCGCCCTTTCTTTCTCCTCTGTAGACAAGTAGCCTAACCTGGTGAATGGTTCAGAATGCTGATGGTGGAGTCTGACTGCCTCGGTTATTATCCTGGCTCTGCCCCTTACTTGCTGTGTGACCTCAGATGAGTCACCTAGCCTCTCTGAGCTTGTCTCCTCATGTGTAAAATGATAAGAATAGTAGTTCCTACATAGGCTTCTTGCAAAGGTTTTATTGAGAAAGCACAACTAAAGCACTTAATATAGCACCTGGTATAGAGCTGAGGGTTCAGTGTGTTAGTTATTTTTAATATTATTCCAATTTAAAATGTAATTTTGCTTTCCATCACAGATTTTTAAAAAAAATAGATCAAAAGGTTTGACTGTAGGGGTGGGGCCTAGATTTTGCTCAACCAAAAGTTTAAGAAAGCTAGCTGTGGATTGCAGCTGTATTTGCTATGCTTCAGGGCAAAGTTTCTCCCCACAGAGAAACAGTGTACAAAAGTCAGAAGCCCTGCTCGGCCTGCTCCTAGCTGTCATGTTCAACCTTGCTGGGAGCCCTCAGAGCTCCAGCAAACAGTGGAGGTACTAGAGGATCAGCAAGACCCAGGCAGGGGGCTGGGCAAATATTCACAGCCTGTGAAACATATAACCCAAGAGGAATTCTCCAGGTCCCCACTGTGGGGAAACTGAGGCCCAGGTCGGAGTAGAGCCCCAGCCAAAGATGTGTGGCTTGGGGTCTCTGAAGCAGAGAGGCCTCCAGTGCAGAGCAGCTCTCCTCCCAGTGCCAGGGTCAGATGCAGGCCGCACATCCACGCTGCAGTGAGCCAGACCCTGGGCCTGGCGCTGGGGCTGCATCATCTCACTGAATCTCCCTGGCATCCTCGGAGGCACTGACACTGTCACTCCCACTGTACAGATCAGCAAACTGAGCCAAGAAGAGAAGCTCCTTGCCCAGATTGCACAGCTAGGGAATGTCAGGGCAGGGTGGTCCTTCTGTCTCCCGTCTTCATATTGTTCCGTCAACCTCCAACCAAGAAAAAAGACTTCAGACCTCAGCCAGTGGAGGACCCCCTCCCCAGGCAGAAGTCTGTCATCTGGAGCAAAAATGCAGCTATGTGGACCCGGACCCACAGCCTCCAGCTGATATGGCCCCAGCAGACACTGGTCTTTGCTGGCAGGAGCAGCCATGGTCCAAAAACTGCAGGCAGGTGGCTACGAGAGATGGTGCCAAAGTCTGGGGCTTCATTGTGTGTTTTTAATGAAACTTGTAATTTTGAGACAGTTCTGATTCACACGCAGTTGTGAGAAATCGCACACAGGGATCCCGTGCACCTTTCACTCAGGCCCCCACAATAGGTACATCCTGCAAAACTGCAGGACAACATCACAGCCAGGTTGCCGACATACAGTCAAGCCACAGGACACGCTGTCTTCCTTAGCCATGTCCACGTCGCTTCTGCTGCCCCATGCCTGACAGCCACTAATCTGTCCTCCAGTTCTGAGTTTGTCACGTCAAGAACGTCATGGAAATGGACACAGACAATAAGTCATCTTGTGGGTGTGACTTTTTGGTCTTTGGTTTTGGGTAGGCTTGTTGTGCTGCCCAGGGCTCTGGGCTTGAGCCTGGTCTCAGAGGGAGAGCCCCATGCACCTCATTTCCTTCCTGGGGGTGACAACACATGCTCCAGCCCCACGGGGAGGGCCTTTGGTGGGCTTAGGTCTTAAGCTGTCAAAAAAACAAGGCCCCGTCATTGGGCCAGAATGATTACAGTAAGGGGCGCTTTGGGCCCTCTGAGCCTCAGTTTCCCTGTGTGGTTTGGCCTTCCTCTTCCCCCCTGGTTCCAGTTTCCCCTCTGCCCTTCACCTCCTGCCCTGGTTGTGGTTCACACCAGGGGCCTGCCCTTTCCCGGACACATCTGGCGGCTCCTTCCCCAGGCCCAAAATAGGCCATTGTGTAAACAGGGCCTACGTGAGCAAGACATGGAAAAAGAAGCCAAGAGCAGGAAGCTGCTTGGGCCATCAGAGCAATGAAACCCAGGAGCACCCTCCCTGAGGGACCTCGCCTGCCCCACACGGTCTGAGTCAGCAGGGCAAGGTGTCAGGCTGCTTTGGGAAGGAGGTGGTCTCTTGCCCTCTAGCTCTGTGTGCTCACAGGACATGCGCCCTGAAACCAGGGGTCTGCAGCACGAACGGAGCACTGGTGTTTCCCGGGTGCAGCCCCTACTCTCCCTCTACTCCCCCATGTTCTGGCCAGTGGGAAGAGGGACAGGGCAAGGCTGGACACGCCTTGACCACAGGGTGCACGTGGCTCTGCTGCTCGCTTCCTATTGGTTAGAGCATGGCCACGTGACCACACCTTGCTCAAGGGAGGCTGGGAAATGTGGTCTATTCTGGGCAGTTGTAGTCCACACTAAACACCAGGTCCTGTAATGGAGCCCAGGAATGGGTAACCGAGGCTGTTTGCTCCTCTGCAGAGCGGGGGTGCTGAAGGCCGTTGCTCAGACTGGGCGCTTAATGAAGGTTATGCCTTCTTGCCAAACACATAGGAAGAGCTCGGCAATTTTACTATTACTTCTTTTCACTAAGTGAGATCCTGCACGTGATGCCCGGCACTTGTGGGCCACAGAGTGTGTGCCTGGCCAGTGGGGCCGCAGTGGCCATTGCGCTTGTTGGCGTCAGTTCTCAACAGACTCCGAGCTCAGGGTTCTCTCGTGGGCCCTCAGCTCTCTTCCCAAACAGGGCTCCTGGCAGACCCTGAACAGCTCCCGCTGCGGCCATGCACTTCCCGTACACCGCCCCCGCCAGTCTCCTGTCCTCTCTGCCCCCAAACAGATGGTCTGGCCCTGCAGGATTCCTGCCAGCTCATCTGCAGGAAGTGGCTAATCCACCTCGTGTGGCTTTCCACAAATGGCCTGGTTTGCCGTGCTCGGTCCCCATAGCATGGGAGGAATCCAGGGATGGCAGGGGTGACCCAGGATAGCCTGCCCCTCTCGGCATGGATCCGGAATTCTATCTAAGGCCCTGAAGGGATGGTAACAGAAGCAGAGAGGTAGCCCCCGCCCTTGGAGAATCAGAGGGGGAACACAGTGGATACTGGCGGCCATCCCTGCACTCCTTGTCCCCAGGGAACCCTCTGCTCCCTCACCCAGTCCTGACACCATGTGGCACTTCTCCAGCCAGCTGAGAACCCATCAGCAAGGATGAGGAAAGCAGTGAAGAGGCGGCATGGCCTCACACATGCCCATATGGGCCTCTGAGAGTTCTAGAAACTTCTCACCCATATTCTATGGGGCAGATGCCTCATCTTGGGCCACAGTGCAAAAGCAATTCACTGTCCCCTTAGAGGCAGGAGGGGTGAAGCCAGAAATTTGGGCCAGGGAGAGCAAGAGCAGGGTGCAGGATGACCCCCAAAGTCTGGGCTACATTCTCAGCTGCAAGCTGGGAGAGTGTCAGAGTCAGGTCCTTGGCCGGCTGATGGTTGAGGAGAGGTGACCAGCCTCTGGCAGGTCTCACAGAGTGGCAGACAGGGCCGAGGACGTAGAGATGGCAGAGGGGCATCCTGTCAGAGGGGCAGGGCAGAGGGCACAGAGGAGGAGCCCTGCAGCCCAGACCTGCCTTGAGCTTCAGTCCTCCTGAGGTTCCTGGGGCAGCACCCAGCCAAAGCACCTCCAGGGCCTCCTCACATTTTCCAGCAGGGCCTCCATGGATCCCACAGTCTGTGTGCCTCTCAGCCACTCCAACCAGGTGGACACCAAGTCACGGGAGAAAGAAGAAACAAAATCCACATGAATTAACACAAAAACATCCTCAGAGTTATTCCTGAGGGAAATCATCAGAACAAAGATATGATACTGCGCTGTTTTCAAAAATACAAATTAATGCTTGAAACTGTCAAGGGGCACATGCATAGAACAAAGCCTGGAAGGAGAGGCACCAAAGACAGGGCAGGTGCTGGCCACAGAAGGACTGGGCACGCTGCAGGCTCTGCATCCCAGACAGGGCAGGCTTGAATGGAGTCAGCTCTTTGGGCCAGAGCAGCAGGAAGAGCTACCAGAAAATAGGTCTGGGCCTGTGGGTAGAGTGTCCCCTGCCATGAGCTGATGGAACCCTCTCTTTCTTCATCCAGGTCGACCTTTATAACTCAGACCCCCTCATCTGCCGGGCGGGGCTGAAGGTGTGCTTTGGCATCCAGCTGCTCAACGCCGTGTCGAGGGTGGAGCGTGCCCTCCCCAAGCTGACACTGCCCTTCCTGCTGCTCCAGGGCTCCGCTGACCGCCTGTGTGACAGCAAAGGGGCCTACCTGCTCATGGAGTCTGCCAAGAGCCAGGACAAGACACTCAAGGTGAGCAGCTGCCCAGACCCCCCTGGGCCATCCGCGGGTCAGGCAGCTCGGGTTGGGGGCCGGCCCCGTCCCACCGGGAGGTGACACCAGGAGTAGGAAGCATCTATTAATTCTAAGGGAGTATGTGAGTCATTACCTGATTGTTCACATGAATGAGCTTGAAAGGAAGAAGGGGAGAACACTCAGATGTCATGGTCAGAGAAAGAACTTGCAACCAGGCACTGAGCAAAAACAGGTAAAAAAAAAGGGGGGGGGTGTCTTCAGCTTTCTCATGTCCAGGGTCTTAGGGCAGGTGTGGTGTCTGGCCTCCCCAAGCCTGGCTTCGTGCACCAGCAGCAGCTCCCAAGCGGCCACTGCCCCCAGGAACTGGGGATGCAAAGGTGAGGTGGGCTTGGCAAGATCTGGTCTGCAAGGGAGGCTTCAAGAGCATATCCACAGAGGGGCCATGCCTGTGGCTTAGCCTCAGGGCATTCAGAATCAGGAGACCCTGGTGGACTGACCTGGAGGGCCTCGTAAGGTGGCGAGTGTTGTTTGGGACTCAAGACGTGTGGTTTTTTTGCTCAGACTGAACTGGGAAGAGGTGGCTCTTTGTGGTCAGCAGGGCAGACCACAGCCCCAGAGCGCAGTCCTGACCATCATGTCCCCCGCCGTGCCCCCACAGCCTGGCAAGAGCCTGTGGAGGCCCTGAGTGTAGGGCTGTTTCCCACTAGGTCATAAAGAGAACAGGCCAGTCATGGCAGACCCAATACCTGCTGAGCAGGGAGTCTGTATTTGAACTCAGCTCCTCTGCCTGACCCACTGGCCCTCTCCAGGTGGCGCTGTGCTCACAAGGGTTCTCACATCTTAGCAAACTGTCAGGCGCTCCCCTCATGCCATTATGAGTCTCAAGCCCTGGCCCACACCAGCTACTAGATGTGGACTCATGGGTGACGATAAAGAAAAAGAAAAAGGAAAAAGGGAAACTGACTGGGCTCAGAGAGCAAGTCGAAGTCCCACCTCCCCCACGCGTCCCGACAGGCTTAGCAATAAACAAGTGACTGACAGACTGACGCTGGAGAGGGTCAGGGCCCAGAGGAAATAAGACAGGGCGAAGGAGGGGTGGGGCTCAATCCTACGATCTGGCTGTGACAAGAGCAGTGGAAGAACATTCCAGAACATAGGAAGGGCAAGTGTGAAGAGCGACATTGTAAAGACCGTGGTGTGTGCAAGAGCCAAAGAAGGTGGGTGCGGCAGTGAGCCGAGCTGGGAGGGGTGGTGTGTGATGGGGCAGCAGCCCCTGCAGCATGAGATGTCTAGGCTTTTTCTCTTAGTACGATGACAAGCATAGGAGCATTTTGAGCTGGGGAGTGACATGCACCAATTTCTGTTCTCCAAGCACCCTCCCTGCTGCCATGTGGAGGTTAGAGTGGAGGCAGGGAGACCAGTGGATTATGGGACTTTGACCAAGGCATGGGGTGGCCTGTGGCAGTGCAGCAAAGCTGGAGAAGGCCTGGCGGAATGGGGGAGGCTGAGGCTGCAGGCAGTGATGCTGACGTGATTCAGGGTGAGCCCCAGGGCTGGGCTGGCACCAGTGAGGAGACCGAGACAGCCTGTTCTGAGATGGGCAAGATGTGGAGAGACAGACTTGGGGTCTTTCAAGAGTTCCATGTGGAGATACCTCTTAGAGCATCCCATCCAATATTTGGAAAAAGAATGGAAAGCAGGAACTCGAACAGTTATTTGCACACCCACACTCGTAGCAGCATTATTCACCATCACCAAGAGATGGAAGCCACCCAAGTGTTCATTGATGGGTGAATGGATAAAAAAACAAAATGTATGTTCCCTCCATACAGTGGAATATGATTCAGCCTTAAAAAGGAAGGAAATTCTGACATGGCCTACAACACAGATGAGCCTTGAGGACACCATGCTCAGTGAAATAAGCCAGTCACAGAACAACACATACTGTGTGATTCCACTTCTGTGAAACATCTAAAGTAGCAAAAAAAGGACAGAAAAAGAGAGTAGCATGGTGGTGGCCAAGGGCTGGGGAAGGAGGAGGGAGCAGCAGGAATTTAATGGGGACAGAGTTTCAGTTTTGCAAGACGCAAGTTGTAGAGATCTGTTGCACAACAGTGTGACTATAGCTAATGCGACTGAACTGTACCCCCCAAAATGGATAAGATGGTGCACATTGTTACGTTTTTTACTAGTTTAAAAAAAATGGAATGTGGAGTTACCTATGAAAAATGTGAAAGGAATAGGAAATAGGCAGTTGGATATAGATGTGTAATTTCAGAGAGGTCTGGCTGGAGATAACAGTTCCAGGGTCACCAGCACGTGGACAGGTTTTAAAGCCGCAGGACAGGAGGAGATTTCTCGGGACAGACAGCGGGCCTCGTCTATATCCTTAGGCTGTGCCAGCCTGCAGAGGCCGGTAGGGTGGTGCTGTTGAGCCCCGGCAGAGAATGAGCAGCCAGGGAGGTAGGAAGAGAGCCGCGCAGACCCCCAGGGGAGTGGGTTTCTGGAAGGTTGGCACCGGTCGACTTCTGAATGATGCTGAGGAGTCAGATCATGTGAGAGCAGGAAGTGCCCCCTGGCACCACCGTCACGGGGGTGGGGGTGGAGGTGCCAAGGCAGCCGCTGCAAGTCGGTGGGAGCGTCAGTCAGATTGGAAAGAACCGAGGACCACATGGAAGGCGAGGGAGGGAAGACAGAAATCCCCCTTCGGAGATGGAGGTGTGGACCGGGTCCAGGGCTGGAGAGAGAAGCGCTAGGACACTGTAGGGCGTTTTCACTTATTGGAACCATTATGTGCCCCAAAGGACTGACACCCTAAGGATGGGAGTCCTCGGGGCGTGGGAGAGGGTGTGCATGGCCTCCCTCCCTGCCCTTCGCTCCCTAGGCCTGATTCCTGTCTCTCTGAATTGCAGATCTACGAAGGTGCCTACCACATTCTCCACAAAGAGCTTCCTGAGGTGACCAACTCTGTCTTTCATGAAATAAACATGTGGGTCTCTCAAAGGACAGCAGTGGCGGGAGCAGAGTGCCCACCTTGAGCACACTGGCTGGGTGGCTGTCCCTGGCCGGGGAAGCGGGCAGACAAAGGGCAGAAGCTGGCTTCTCTGATGTGGCTTGCCAAAACAAATCACAAATTGGAGGAATTCCTAGCATAATTTACTACCAAAAACTATATATTTTCTTGTCATATATTCGGCTGTCCGCCACCAGACCCACCTTGAGGGGTAGACATTTTATCCCAAAACAGAGAAGGGTCACAGACCGTGTCCCAGAAAGGGAATGTGCTGAAATGTCCTCAAACCAAGCAAAGCCTCTGCCCCACCTCTCCCAGCTCCCCCAAGGTTCCCAGGAATTCCTGGTGTGCCCAGGGCCCCTGGCTGCAATAACTGGAGGACTGTCCCCTCCAGCACCCATCTCCCCCTTTCCCTCCAGATGGCCTTGCTCTGTGGCCTTTTTCTGGCCCCGTGCGGCCTCACATGCCCTCTGAGGCCCAGAATATGCACAGTACTTCCTCAAAATGAGTGCCCACCAGTGACCCGTGTCAGCTCCTTGCCAGGGGGAGCAGGGCTTTGGGAAGGGACAGGCCTGGCCCTGAGACAGCTCAGCAGGGACCTACTCCTTCCTGCTGGGGTGGAGGTGCCTGCCGAGTGCTGTATATATTCAGGCTGCCTTTCTTGACGTGACTAATTGCCTGCTGCTCTGAGAGGACAGTTATATTGAAGATGAAATGTCTAATATATAATGTATATTCTAAAGCAGAGACTATTTTGGTGGGGGGTGGGGGTGGGGGTGGGACCCTGGGGGAGGGGCTTGAAGGCCGGGGCCTCAAGGGGGACAGGCTGGCCAGGGGGCCCTGTGCTCCTGGCGTGACGGTGGAGTCCCTGGGAAGCAGGGCCCGCAGCACCCGCAGTGGTGGCCTCAGGCCGTCCCCGGTCCCGCCCGCCTGGGCCCACAGCGCCGGGGGCCTCGCTGCTGGCCGGACAGCTACCCCTGGTGGCAGAAGACAGCCCGGCGCTGTGGCCCGGCCCAGGCACCGCAGGGCTGGCGCGGCCGGCTGGCAGCTCCCGGCCACCTTTCTCAGGTGCCGTCCCCACCCTGCCCGCCCTTAGCCCTCACGTAGCGCCAGCAATAAACGGGGGTCAGCGCCCTCCGGAGCTGTACGGCCACCGTCTAGCGGGCTCTCTGTTACCTCACGCGGCTCCTCGTGCAGAGGACTCCGGGCGGGGGCGGAGCCGCCTGCAGTCCGCAGGGCCCCTGCCGGGCCCTCCTGCAAGGAGGCTGGGGCCCCACTTCCTCCAGTGGCTTCCCCCTCAAGCCCTGTGCTTCTGGGGCTTCTTCAGGTCCCCAGAGAGGGGAGCCCCTCCACCATCCTTCCAGGGATCCTGACCACACCATGGTCCAGCCAAGAGCTGGTCACCTCCTGCTGGCGGCCCCTGGTCCCCAACTGAAGGTCACGTTTGCCGAGGGGCCAAGGTTTGCGTTTCCCACCCCCCAGAAAGGGGCAAAGCCCCAGCATCCAGCCCAGGTCCCACGGAGAGGGGTGCCATAGCCTCATCTGACCTCTCTGGCTCCTCTTTGGAGGCGAGAGATGTGAAAAACGCGCCGAGAGGGCTGGACGCCCACCTGCTCTGCTGGGCAGCGGTGGGAATGTTTCTCAGCCCAAGACAAGCCGAAGCTCCACCCACAAATCCCAGCCCCGAGACGCCCCCAGGCCAGATCTGGGACTCTGCCTGGGGCTGTGCTAGCACGTGCCACACAAGCCCCCGAGCCTCCCATACGCTGCCCAGAAGCATGTGGTGGCCACTCCGCTCCCCAAATTGTCAGGCCCACAGTTTGACCAGGTTGCTTGCAGGTGCATGAACTTGTATGACAGCTCATACAGACAAAGTCAGCCATATTTACATATCTGGTCAAGTAATAGCCTGTATTAAAAAGAAAAAATATTTGAAACTGGGACAGTCTATCTAGGAGATGGGACAGGGACATGGCCATGCCACGCCCACCTGCTGAACTTGGGGTGGGCCTGGGAGCCAGACACCAGCTGTAACTGGAGCTCACACAGGACCCCTCCAGGGCAGTATGGCCCTCCCATTCTTGGAAAGCTGAACAGGTCTTGAATTGAGTTTTTTCTCAATGTTGGCAGCTCCATGCGGACCTTTGGAGCTTTAAGGTCATACCTTCACCACAGCACCACGGAGATGGGTTTGGAAGGGAAGCAGGGACACACATGGCCTTGCCTTGAGAAGGTGGGAGGAGGGCAAAGGCTATGGAGTGCCCCTGGGGGTGCAGCTGATCTAAACCCAGGCTGGGGGTTCCGGCATTTCAGGACACTTGGCCCAAGCACTGGTGTGAACACAGAATCTTCTCCTGTACCTCAGAGGCCATGCTGGTCCATACAGAAGGGGGTGGAATGCCTGCAAATCTTTTTAGGAAAAGATGCCACCTGCAGCCAGTGAGGTCCAACCCGCCAGGCCCATTCCTTTGCCGTCCTGCGGTGACCCCAGCCTCTCCCTCAGCTTCTGGGGGATGCTGGGGGTCACGGGGAGAGCACAGGATTCTATGAAAGCCTGCCAGGCTCTGCTCAGCACCCTGCAGCAAGGCCCACACTACTGCTAACATAAACCCATCAGGATCACCGTGATTTTCCAAGCAGGTTACAGTTTGCTGTTGTCACTGAAGCTCAGCCACGTCCCTACATGTATACTATTAGTGGGGACCTGGCTGTCAGATTAGGTGTATTAAAGGAACTGATGTATACCACAGCTAATCCTAATAAACCAGATGTTTACTGAATGGTGGTGTCCGTCTGTCTGATTCCCTTTTCAGAGGTAGTATTGAGCGTCTGGGCTGAGCCAGCATCTGCCATAAACCCATGTGTGTGGATCTGAGTTCTCTCCTCCAGACGTGGGGACTTCTACCCCAGGAGCAGACTCCATGCCTTCTCTCTCTTCCAGACTCGGCCACTGCTGGGTACCCATGGATCTGGGCCTCCCCTGGCTCTGGGCTCCGTGGCTGAGCGCTTCCCCCACAGCCCTCGGGGATGTTTGGCACGTCCAGAGACAGCCTTGATTACTCCACCCACGCGGGCTCCACCTCCGACCCGTCCATCTCAGCTTAGGGAACCAGCTCTCTGGCCCTGCAGCCCCGAGCCCCGGATGTCCACCTCCATGCCTCGGGCCCTCCGGCCCCTCCTGCTGGGTGGCAGCCTCTTTTCCCAGCCCTGTTTCACCACCCCTTCAATATTCCCACTCAGCACAGAGAGGGTGTTAAATGAGTCAGATACTGGCCCTTCCCGCTCAAAATGCCCCCACGGCTCCCACATCACCCGGATGAGGCCCTGGGCTGTGACCTCCCTGCCTGTGTTCCCAGGGAACCCCGCACCTGCAGGCCCCCACATGATCGCCTCCCTGCTGGCTACCTTCTCGGTGAACCTTTCCTGGCCATCCTAAAATCCAAAACCCGCCCTGGCACCTTCCCTGCTTCCCCTCCTCCAGCACGTGTGTCACCATCGGACAGCCTCGCGGTAGCTCTCTGACCCCCCACACCCTGAGCTGAGCTGCAGGAGGGCGTGTCCCTGCCCGGGACCTCTGTCTGGGGTCCAGAGCATCCCTGACAAACACCTGCCCAGTGAGGGTGGAGGGCAGGTGGGCTGGGGTGGGGGAGTGCATGGAGGGCCCAGTGCTCTCTGGCCAGGCACGGAGCTTGGCCCTGGGGTCATGGACACAGGGCCAAGCCACGTGGCCACCCAGGGGCCCACACTGGGAAGGGCCCCTCCTTGGGTTCAGTGCCCCACTGTTGCTGTCCTCAGTGTCTCAGTTGTGTTTGGACAAGGGCCCCACAAACACAAAGCAGGTCCTGTGGGATGGCCAGAGCTGGCCCTGCCCTCCGTGCAGAGGCCCCTGGGATGGCATTAGACTTGGGCAGGCCCTCATGTTCTACTTAGGCCTGGCCAAGTTCTACCCTGAGCCTGAGCCAGACCTGGGCAGTGTCCCACCTTTGTAGGCTTTTCCTGCCTCCTGTGAGCAGTCAGCAACCATCAGAAGCTCCTACTGAGCGTCCCTGATGTGCCAGGAGCCTCCATGCTGGCCCTGTGGCTGTCCCTTAGAACGAGGTCAGAGTGACACCAAGTTGTCACCTCACAGCTGTGCGGCAGGAAGAGAGATGGTGGGAGTCTGCAGCAGGCCAGCCAGCAGCCAGCAGGCTCTCCAGAGGCAGTCCTGTAGTTGAGCATACAGAGGAGCAGGTGGGGGGTGGGGTGGTTGCATGGGGTTCCAAGGGGCTCAGGGAAAGGCCTGAGGGGAGTTCAGGTGGAAGGAGCTTAGGCTGGTCCGAGAACTGAGACTTCTGTGACGGCTGGAGGAAACCAAGGGCCCCCCAACCGCAGCAGTCAGCCAAGCAATAGTGTAGTAAAGGGAGCTCACCAAGTAGGTGCAGCGCCGGGAGCAGCCACAGGGGGGAGCCAGCCGCCCTACTGCAGGGTACCGGTGGAACCCAGGACACAGCCTCGACCAAAGTGGAGGCGAGCTGTGGAGGCAACTGTGCCTCCTTCTCCTCCCATCCCCTCTCACTGCCCTGCAGTCTTCAGCACGAGGCTTCCAGCCGGTGGTCCAATATGGCTTCCCCAGCTCCTGCCACAGTGGCCTCATTCCAGCCCATGGGAGGGGAAGAAAGGAAAAAGTGGGTGTGAGCTTTTTAAGGAATAAACCAGAGACCATTGTACCTAGTATTTAGCTCACATCCACAGCTAAAGCAAGGGAGGCTGGGAGAGGAGTCAGGTCCCCGAGGAGAAGGAGGGGCTTAGATATCAGGGGGACAGGCTGTGCCCAGGAGCCTCGTGCGTGCATCCAGACTTCCAAGGAGAGGCGGCCGGGTCTCGGTATCTGCCTGGAAGATGCCAAGAGGGTTGTGAGAATGAGCTGGAGGTCAGGCAGTAGGACAGAGAAGGGGAGACGGAACCAGCAGCTACTAGAGAGGCCAAATCCACAAGGTTTGGTGCCCAGCCACCTCTGAGGGCCAGGGGATTGGGACAGAACAGAAGGAGCACATTGTGCGTCTCTGGAAGTCTACAGACAAGGTTACAAAGTATGTCCCAAACCACGGCTGTTCCATCTTCAGGAGAGGGTGAAGTTCACATTGTTTGAGCCCCATGCCTGCCCTGCCAGGAGGTTCCTTGCTGCTCCTGACCTCTACACCGGCTTTAGCTGGTTGGCACTGTGGCTCCCGTTTAGACTGATGTTAGAAATGACATAAACCTGTATGGGATTTATTCCCAGAGGAAATAATGTTTAGATAAAAGGGTATTGACAAGATGCCTACATGTCAGAACATGTACCAGAGAGTCACCCCAGCTGGGAGGAGGGAGCTTGAGAAAGAGCGGGCTGTGCGTCACTTCAGAAGGATGCAGAAAGAGTTTTGAGCAGCCAATAAACTTAAGACAAATGTAAAGAAAGCCCAATATGGATATAAGCTGCTTAGGTGACCTCCGGGGAAAGAATGTGAACCCTGTAGTGCTCAGCCAATGAGGACCCAGGGGAGGGGTTCGCGGGCTAAGGAATAAATAGCTTGTTGTGATCCTGAGGGTGCCTGCTCACCGTGACCCAGAGGGTGCCTGAGCAGGACCGCCATTAAAGCCTCGCTCCACTGTTCTGACTCTGTGTCCACTTATTAGGGTCGGACCAGTGAGTGCATTTCTCACAAATGATAAGTAAACTGAGGTTCTGTGGGCCTCAGTGATTTGCTCAAAGTCCAGGAGAGA